CCTTGCTTGCTTGCAGTCAAGGAAGGCCTTTACACAAAATACACCTCTTCCCTCCTTAATTTACCTTCCTCTGACCTCCAAAAGCCCAAATCTACATACAAGTAATGCAAAAATTAAACATATATACTTTATGAACTTTGGAATAAAAGTAGCTACTAATTATCCGAACTAGATTTTGATTATTGATATGCATTACTATTATCGTTCATCAATCAGCAGAAAGGGTCGGACTGTTTCCGATCACCATAGAAGTTTAATTGATTAGATTTCAAATTTGTTTCTAGGGTTTGAAGAAGAAGGTTGAAAATCCGCACCAGTCTCTTTCGTTTTCGAAGTTAAAATTCATCTAACCTTAAACAGGTGAAATAGATATTATATACTTTCTAGCATGATTTGGACATTTATAGTTAAATATGTAACCGCCAAAGCCTACTGCTAACAGATATTATCTGTTTTGGCCCGTTACGTATTGTCGTCAGGCTCACGATTTTAAACGCGTCTGCTAAGGAGAGGTTTCCACACCCTTACAAGAAATGTTTCGTTTCCTTCTCCAACCGATGTGGGATTTTACAGAATACCATGTTAACATACATACTAACCTTCAGGTTTGAATCCCAACTTCCTGTACATAAAGCACTTCCATCTGCAGACAAACCCAAGCAAGTAATTGGCCCTTCATGTGAGTTGTGAAGTGTTCCCAAGTTCAAAACCATCTGCAATCATAAAAATTAAGAATAGGTATCATTTCACCCAAATATATAGCCTGCTAAAGGATCCAGTAATATATAAAGGAAGTTTCTTTTTTAACTTAGGCATGCTACCGAAAAGTATTCGACAAGAGGTTCGTCATCTTCATGGACGTATTTTGAACAAGGTGGATGTTCTAGTATTCTTATTGACATTAAAACATGAAATACCTGTGCAAGTAAAGTGTCCCACACATAGCAATCGCCATTTTTGTATCCAGCAAATAAAAGCCTTCCAGATATAGAGAATGCTATGGAGGTTACATGTGGGTTGGTATCATCACTGTGCAGCTGATGGTAAACTTGGAGAACATGCCCAGTTCTGATATCATATAGTCTGCAAGTTCCATCATCAGAACCAGTTCCAAACCGGTTACCATCTGGAAAGAACTTTACTGTATTAACATCTCCATCATGTCCGTGGAATGTCTGCACTGCTCGACTAGCTACCCGAGTGTCCCAGAGGCGAGCAGTTGCATCACAAGAACCAGAGATAAATGTGTTGGATCCGCTAATAGATACACTAAAACATGCATAAAAACATAATAGTCAAACAACTAGAGAAGTAATATGAATAATCAAATATCCATGCATTCGCATTAGATAATTACAATCATCCATCTTTACAACATAAATCAAATATAAGCAAGAAAACAAGTTAATGGAACAAATTGCATAGTCATAATGGAACTGGTATTCCCATGAACTTGATTGTTCATCTCTAAATGAAATTCATAAGGATGTTATGAGAATAATACCTTGATACATCTGCTGTATGCCCGGATTGAAATTCGCCTCCAAAAACAGACGTTCGAAGTCCAGTAGTAATATCCCACAAGACACAAGTCTGATCCCCAGAACCAGTAATGAGGTGATTATCATCATCTGGAACATATTGACAACAGGAAACATACCCTTTATGCCCGCTAAGAGTTCTAGACACTGGCAGATTGCCATCCCTGTCATTTGGAGAGTTGAGGTTGAAGATAGAACAGACACTGTCGAGACCACCACCCGCTACAGATTGACCAGAAGGCGAGAAAGCGCAAGTCATGACCCATGGACAAGGTAGCTTTATGGCATGAGTCTTCTGGCTTGTTAGAGCATTCCACACTATTAAACGCCCATCTTTAGATGCACTGACAATTCGATTCCTCTCCGAACTCCAATCCAACGAGTACACCTGCAGGAGTTACAGCAATTATTTTCCAACCCCAATGGAGAATCTCAGAGTTAAATTGAAGAGAAACAGAGACTTGATCATTGAATGAAAAAACACCGAAGCGCAAGAGTAGAAACCATTTTTGATATCTAGGCTCTATACTTTAGACAATGAGTTGAGTACCATTAAATGACATAAAAAATCAGAGTAAGCTATCTCTTGTAGATAGTTTCTCTTCCATCAATTTGCTTATAGGCCTATACTCCCTACAAAGACTATGAAGTAATAATGAACTAATTAAACAATCCCTACCAAATCAACTACTCTCAACCAGATAATCCAGAAAAAAACACTTTCAATGGTATCATGGTGTAATTCAATCCTAACATTCTTCCAACATTCGTTTACTCTAAAGCAATGATTTAAGGTCTTGTTCACGACACAGTAAGAAGATTTCTACAACAGTCAACGTTAAAAAAAGAACACGGCTATCCTCGAAGTTATCCACAAAAAGAAAAAGTACCTTTCCAGTATGACCCTGCAAAGTCCTACAGCAGACGAGATCTGTAGCTCCGAAATAGACGGGACGCTTCCCCTGAGACCTCGCAAACCCAGCTACTGCAGAATCAACCACCAAAACGGATGAGATCTAAACCAACTAGCAACAACATAATCATCAATCAGAAGAGGAAAAAAAAACAACAACACCGCCGAATAAAAAAAAAGAAGTTACAGAGTGATCAAGAAGCTCACCGTCAGTGTCGAGCAACGAACGCCTCTTCTCTTTCAAGCGTTCTCTGAGAGAGTTGACCATCTCAATGGCCGCCACATGCCGCTCCTTAAGCTCGGAAACAGACATTTTGCTTGAAAACAGAAACTTCAACCAAGAAACGCCATCGACACGCCCAAATCAAGCTTCAATGAAGTCGTAAACACTGAAATGAGAGAGGAAGAAGTGAAATTAAGGTGAAATCGTCGAGAAATCCAGGGTTTAACTAGGGTTTACAGGTGCAGGAATGAGCGAAAAGATAAAAGATCGTGTATGAAGAAGAAGAACAGAGGGAATTTTTGGGCCGATCGAGAGGAAGAGGAAAAGAGACGGAGCAAAGCTGAAAAAACTGAAGATTTTATTTATTTTATTTTATTTTATTTTATTTAAATTTTACTGTAAGTCCCCGGGCCCACATTGTCCCACGTGTTGTTCTAATAGGTGGTAAAGACACCGTGTCATGTGGGGCCCACCCAGGCTCTAATCTAATAACCCAACTCTATGTTACTATAATTGTGTTCATTTATTAGCCCCAAATATAATTTATTTTGTTTGTTTGTTAAATTAGATCCTTCATTTTTAATTTAATTAAAATCTAATAAGTATTAATTCTAAAAAAAATAATCAAATCATTAGAATTAATTTAAATAGAAACTAAATTTATAATTTAATTTTTTAAAAAATAAACCATTTCTTATTATTATTCCATGTATAAAACTGAAACACGAAATATTTAATCTTTTTTATAAATCCATTAATATTTCACAAGATAACTATATATGGATCCATTTTAATCTTGTTGAGTTATATATAAACTCCGAGGAGTGAAAGTGACTTTTTTTACTTAATAAAAGGAAGTTGGGAAGGTAATTTTACGACATGAAATTCACTCATTTCCCATATAGGAGTTAAGTACATTAGTTGTTCTCTTCAATACTAATTTTGAGATTTCAGCAATGGACCCCACCCTTTCACTCGCTCTACCGAAATTTAATTTATGATTGGATCATAAATAAATTATTCATCAAAGAATTAGTTGTACTTTGCGATTGTGCGACACTCACGTCCCAGAAACAAGTGAGTTAAGCTTATTCGTTCTTGCGTCGCCTACGGCCAAGCGATGTATACACGAGCCTCTAGCTCCGGTTCAAGAAGAAAGTTTTAGAAAACGGGAGCAGAGAGATCTCGGAAGAGAGTTTTGAAAGCAAGATTTGAGAAAATGAAATTTGTGTTATATGGGAATGTAAGCAAAAGGCAACAACAACGGCTTACTGCTTATAACTATCGGGTAGGGAGAAGTTGACAACTCGTGAATGACGACTTGCTTGTAATTGTTCTATCTATAGACAGCTTATCCTACGTGCATAAGAATGTAACTCCTAAGTCTATTGTGAATTGACGTATAGTTAAATAAAACTTGATTAATTAAAAAGTTTAATTAATTAATTTTGTATTATTTGTGCTTAATAACATCAATTTAGTTGAAAGGAAAATATATTTAATTTGAAGGTTCAAATTAATATTTACTGAATTAGATATTAGGTATATAAAAGGAAAATATTTGTAGGTGTCAGAAGCTAATCAATTTGTGTAGTCTCTCGTCTTCTATCAGAGTTAATTTCCTCCACACACGCTAGTAGCTCCCCAATATATTACTTATATAGTCCCTTATCCATTCTTAGGACGGATTTGTTCTACACACAATAGTATATACTTAATCAACTACTCTGTAGTCTCTTGTCCCCTCTCAAGGCGGGTTATTATACACATTAGCTATTCCTCATGCTATCAATTTATGTAATCTCTCGTCCCCTCTCAAGGTAGGTTATTATATATACAATGGTAGTTTTTTATATCACCTATTCACATGTCCCTCAAGGCAAGTTATATCCTACACATAGTGACTCCTCCAATAGTTTCGTTCGCGTTACTATCTATCTTATAAGTTCTCGTAGTTCACCTTTGTGCCATGGAGATATATTAGGTTCTAGGACGTTTTAGGTGGATTAGGTCACAATTTGCATTTCAAGTCGCTCAAGGTGAGCTCTTCGTGGCTAAGCCAAATCTCGGGGTGCACCTAGGTCTCTCATTGCCACTTACGATTCTAGGGTGTTTGGCATACTGAAAATATATTCACCTAAGACGTTACATAACACTTGGGTTCCTCTACCCTAAACTTACCCTGGTTCATGCATGCTTTACTAGGGAAGTATTCTATCAATCACCTAGTGTACAGAAATCATGGTCTAAACGTTCATGCATGTTTAATAAAGAGATATTACTATCAATCAAGTAAGCATAGATAATTCATAAATACATTCGCCTTAATGTAGCATACAATTTAATCCTACAATTCAAACATGCTCAATGGGGAGAAAATGTCCATCTAGCACCTGGAGCACATATCAAAGTTTTCCCATCCTCCATGTGAGATCTCACATCGGTTGGAGAGGAGAACGAAGTATTCCTTATAAGCGTGTGGAAACTTCTCCCTAACCTGTGTTTAAAAGCCATGAGACTAACGTCAATACGTAACGGGCCAAAGCGGACAATATCTGCTAACGATGAACTTGGGCTGTTACACTACATTCTAGTGCAACAGAAACATTTAATAAACATATCATAGTCAGAAAATGGAAGACCATATTGTGATATGTTTCATGATATGATAAGTGCATGATATGACCTAATATGTTGGGAGACACGATATGCTTATGATATGTTGGGAAACACGATATGCTTATGATGTGACACAAGTGACATGATAAGATGTATGATATGAATGACATGCAATAAGATGTTTCGACACGATGCACAACCCCATGGAAATGGAAGGGGTTGTTTTACATGATAATGAATGAAATGTTGGGACCTCATGCATCATTGTGTGTTCATACATCAGGGAATACCCCTCTTTTACGATGGTTTGGACGCGTACATTATGATGCAGAAAAACAATCATTATGTTTATCATAATGCTGCAACAATCACTATAGCTAATGGGTGTCTGACATTAACAGCTCCAGAGAATGCTCGTCCAACCATGAAAGGGGCTCAGAAGGTGTGCGAATCGACTGGTGGGTCCATACTCGCACATGTGCACCATGTGTAGAACAATAAATATACATCCAATTAGCCCATTCAGGATAGCCACCTAAGGAAATCCAGAAGGATATGATAGATCCCACTCATGATTTTATGTGTTTCTTAAAATACTAAAGCCAACGTACTACTTCTATTTCAGATAAGGCAAAGCACTTTTGTACGACTGACAATAACATTAGAATTTGAGACCATGACACATGCATATGGTAGTTGTATTTATTTTCTAGACTTCAATAAGAAGAAGGCGTTTTTAATTTTAATGTTCATTTATTTCATTTAGTATTTCGTTATTTCCTTTTAAAAACGTTTTCAAATACGCAAGTCCATGATAGCGCTTGAAGATGAAGTTTAAACGCTTATTTCTACACGTAGAAATCTAGGGTCCTTACCTACGACTTGATAGGATCTAATTTAGAAGTATTCCAAAAAAGACAAACAAATAAATAAATTTCATGTAATACAAAGCTAATAATAATCAATTTATGGTGGAGTTTGAGTGATGGATGTTTATGAACCAACTGAACGTGATATGAAGTAGAAGACAAGAAGAAGAAGACATCTTACTTCTTGAGGGCCAAAGACTTTTGAGGCATGAAAATCCAGATTTGGCAGGGATACATTGCCAAATGAAAAGGAAAGAAAGGAAAGCAACAAACAAGGAGTGCTTAACAATGGTGATGAATGGCCAACTTGAGGGAAAACAACAGCAAACTAAATCCTAAGAATCCATTAAAGTTGGGTAGAAAAGGTATCAGATGATGGCCCATTGTTTTGTTGAGAAGTGGATTGTGTTGGTGGAAGCTATCGAGATTCGTTGAACTTGACATGAACTAACGAGTAATAATTTAGCATGACATAGAGAGAGTATGCCGACTATATGAACTAATGAGTAGTAATTTAGCATAACATAGAGAGTTATGCCGACTATATGAACTAACAAGTAATGAGTAATAATTTAGCATGACATAGAGAATAGGCCGACAATCAGAACTAATGAGTAATAATTTAGCACAATATAGAGAGTATGTCGACTATCTGAACTAATGAGTAACAATTTAGCACGACACAAAGAGTAGGCCGACTATCTGAACTAATGACTTATATAGGACATTCTTTATACAAAAAGCTCATTTCTTATGTTTGTAGGCATCCATTAACACCAAAACAACAGCAAAAACATAAGGGAGATCATAGATATACACCGCGCTGCCTCCTATTAAATCTTTGAAAACTTATATAAGGAAGAAATATTTTAGTATAAAATAATCTGACCTCTAGGAACTGGCTTCTCTTACAGCAATGAGATTTTATCTCTTTCTTGATTCCGTGTCATCTATACCAGCATGCTTTGATGGAAGTTTACTCGGTATGTCTAGTCGTGAAGGCTGGCTGTCTTTCTCTCGCACCGATCGAAGCTCCTGGAAATTGAGAAGGAAGAGACGTTACAATCCTTCATTATTGAATCTACAAATATTCCACGTTGGTTGGAGAGGAGAGAAGAACGAAGCATTCTATATAGGGGTGTAGAAACCTCTCCCTATCAAACACGTTTTAAAACCTTGAGGGCCCAAAAAAGACCATATCTACCGTGGACTTGAGCTGTTACATATTTCACATGGAGATGACGAGAATGGATAATTTGTTAATATTTCCTTCATTGGGTTTATGGAAGACTTTGGAAATCAGGGGGTAAATAGAACAACAGCAGATGAAGATGAACTAGAATGACGATCAGCTAATCTTGAGTCAAATAATTCAAAGAGCAAGGTAAACTGGTGCTTACCGAACGATAAGGAAAGTCATCTGTCTCTAGCATGTGAACGATTTGCCCCATCTTTGGCCTTTTATTGGCATCCAAGTCAATGCAGCGTAGACAAACAAGCAACAGTCGCTTTAGAGCTCTTGGAGAGGGTGGAATCTCAATCAATGGATCCACAACCTCTTCGCCACGTCGATTCGCCACCATTCCTTTAAACCAGTCCACCAAGTTCATCTAGAAACACACCCAATGTAAATTAAATTGGATAACTTAAATATGTATGAAGCCAGTGAGGCACTTGGCTTAACAGTCTTACCTCTCCTGGGGGTCTGGAATAGTCGATTGGGCTTCGACCAGTAATGATCTCCATAAGTAGAACCCCGAAACTGTATACGTCGCTTCCCTCGTTTAGCATGCCTGTACTTGCATACTCAGGGGACACATATCTATAGCATGACAAAGTACCTTAGCAAACCAGAATAACTAAGGTTGCAAAATTGGATAGAATGTTGTTTGTAACATAGAAACATACCCGAATGTCCCCATTACTCGAGTAGTTACGTAGGTGGCTTCGGGTTGTAAGAGCTTTGCAAGTCCAAAGTCGGACACTTTTGCATTCCATTTTCTATCTAAAAGAATGTTGCTGGATTTTACATCACGGTGCACAACTTTAGGTTCCAAACCTTCATGCAAATAGGCCAAGCTGTGTTTCAAATAAGGCCAGGCAATCAGCAACAAAATATTAAAAACACAACTAAAACATATTTACTGCCACCTTCCAATAAAAACAGAAGGTACATGTGTAACAGCCAAACCCACCGCTAACAGATATTATTCTATTTGGACTTTTCCTTATGGGCTCCCTCAAGGTTTTAAAATGCGTCTGCTAGGGAGAGGTTTATACACTCTTACAAGGAATGTTTAGTTCCCCTCTCCAACCGATGTGGGATCTCACAATCCACCTCCCTCGCCAGGATCTTCTCTGGCAAACAATCCAGTGTCTAACTCTGATACCATTTGTAACAGTCTAAACCTACCGCTAGCAGATACTGTCCTTTTTGGACTTTCTCTTCTGGAATTCCTCTCAAGGTTTTAAAGCGCGTCTGCTACTAGGGAGAGGTCTCCACATGCTTACAAGGAATGTTACGTTCCCCCCTCCAACCAATATGAGATCTCACATGCTACATGACAGAGTAAGAGAAGGAATTCTCATGTATAGAACAAGTATTGAACAGGTTACCCTTTTGCTGTTCCAAGAGCAATCTTCATCCTAATATCCCATGTTAGAGGGCTAACAGGCCCCACATCACCATGTAGCCATTGCTCCAAGTTGCCATTATCAATATATTCAAACACGAGCATCCTAAAATTGCACAAAATCCCATTGTTAAGTTTATTACAATAAACTCCATCAAGGTTCATGTGTTAAATTATAATATACCTCTGTGCTCCTTCTGCACAGAAACCAATCAGACCCACCAAGTTCTTGTGCCTTACTTTTCCAATGGCCTCTACTTCAACCTTGAACTCTTTCTCTGCCTGACCCCTGTAACAAAATTATGAAAACAGATAAATTCATTTCTTTTTATCACGAGATGTGTGCCAAATGTATTATAGCAGAGGTCATGGACATAATAGAGAATATGTCCCAAATTAAAAACAACCAAATCCTTCCTGGTTATTCTTTCTTAGTCTGTCATGAGCCAAGAATGAAAAGAATCGATAGCAGTTTTAAGGAAGACTACCGAGCTCATAAGCGCCTATAAATAAATAACAAGGCTTCCTATGCTAAAGAACAGATTTCACATTCCTACAGATCAGTTCAAGCCATGGTGATTTTCTACCTAAGATTAAAAATCCTACGAATTACCTTAGCAACCAAATGTGGTCGAGTTAGGACGTAGTCCATGAAGCCTAAGCTAAACCAAATACGTACAGAAAACAACAGAAAAGTCAAAATATTAACTTTACTTAAGGCAAGCAACACACCATCTAGTTGGCCATATCAGTTTCTGAGAGAGAATCTACACTGAACCCAGGAAAGAAAAAGGGAAAAAAGCTAATAATTACAGGGTAAGGTAAGGACATGTGATTTGAAGTGAACGAAATGTGTCGATAACGTATCAGAACTCACTAAAGCAGTAAAGAACAAAATGACAGTTTGGCTTTTACGTAATGCTGAGCAACAAAAAACCCACAACCGACATAGTACCACTAAGTTCGGATCATTGTTTCATCGGTCAAAACTAGAATTTCACGGGGAATTTGGAAAACAAAAAAAAAAATGAAGAAGATTAAACATAACCCAGTAGGCAGAATCGAAAATAAAATAATCAAAACAGTGTAAAATTCAACGCGGATTTCCCAGAAAAAATGTAAAATAATCGATATGAAATGATTGAATTTGTCTGTATAATCCACTATCCACCCACCAAGATGCTGCTAATAAAAAAATGAAGGAATACAAAAGTGACGTCCAATTCTTCCTTTTCTAATGGATTATAGTGCACATCATGACCAAAACAGTGCAGGATTTTTCTGAAATGGCAAGTACTTTACAGCGAATGTTATGATTCGTTTCACTTACTTATTGTTAA